AAATTTTGCTAGAGTCTCCTCCGTACACTAGACTAAAACCAACCCGCACGCATCCAGAAAATATAATATTCATGCCACACATGGACAATGTCCATAAATAGCAACACTTGGCCTCACACGACCTTCAATCATAAATACTGAAAGTCAAAGAGCTTACCTGATGACCTACTAGCCTGAGTAGAGCTGTGTTGAAGTATCCCATCTCGAGCCATATCTTCAGTTTGAAATAGGTGGGTGTATTTGGACTTCATTTCTTCCTCCGCTTCCCATGTCATCTCTTCCACGTTCTTGCTTTTCCATAGAACTTTCACGAAGGCTACCTCATTTCGTAGCTTGTGGATTTGTCGGTCTAGGATGGCAACTGGAACTTCCTCGTACGATAAGTTCTCCGTTATCTGTACATCATCAGTGGGGACCATTCGGGTAGGATTGTCAATGCACTTCCGTAGCATAGATACATGAAAAACCGGATGGACAGACTCCAATTTTGAGGTCAGGTCTAACTCATATGCTACTCGGCCCACTCTTCGAATAATCCTATAAGGCCTAATATACCGTGGGCTAATCTTTCCTTTCTTGCCAAACCTCATCATGCGCTTCATAGGCGACACCTTTAAGAACACCCAGTCATCAACCCCAAACTCTAAGTATCGTTGCCGCACGTCAAAATATGACTTCTGACGACTCTAAGCTATCAAAAGTCGCTCATGGATAAGCTTTAATTTCTATACAGCCTGCTGAACCAAGTCTGGCCCATGTAACCCAGATTCTCCAACATCAAACCACCCTATAGGAGATCTGCACTTACGTGCATACAAAGCCTCGTATGGAGCCATCTGGATACTGGAGTGGTAACTATTATTATTTGAAAACTCGATAAGAGGTAGATCCTCGTACTGCCTTTCCTTTACTTCAGTTGTGAGAGATGATTTTTCAGTGTTTTGCAGTACAACTCCACCATCGTCAGAATCTACTAACCGAACCACCAAACAAGCCAATTGATGAAGCTCTCTAGCTAGTTCTCTTTTATCGGCCTCTACATGTGCTAAGCTACCCATAGATCGGCAACTTAAGGCATCTGCTGCAACATTACCCCTCCTGGATTGTAGAGAATGTTAATGTGGTAATCTTTCAATAACTCTAGCCATCTCCCCTGTCGCAAATTCAACTCCTTTTACTTAAAGATATATTGCAGACTTTTATGATCTGTAAATACATCAACATGAACACCATATAAATAATGTCGCCATATCTTAAGTGCATGGACAAACGCAGCTAACTCGAGGTCGTGGGTCGGATAATTCCTCTTGCGCTTCCTCAACTGCCTTGAAGCATATGCAATTACCTTCCCATGTTGCATCAGGACACATCCTAACCCGACACCTGAGGCATCAAAATACACGGCATAACTCTCTGGACCCTCTGGAAATGTTAGATCTAGCGCTGAGGTCAACCTGTTCTTAAGCTCTTGGAAACTCCTCTCGCAAGCCTCTGTCCACTGAAACTTAGTTGCTTTCTGCGTCAATGTAAGGCCCCGAAAAATTTCGCTAAGTAACCTAGGATTTTGTGGTGCCACGTAGGCTTATTATAATATTTTTATGTGCTATTAACATGGTGTACATAAATTTGATTTGGTAAATATGTGTATAAGTCTTATGGTAAGTAATTTAGGGTCTAAGGAAAGGCCTAAGTCTAAGAAAAATTGGAAAAGTTCATAATAGGCTAAAATTCCAAATGAGCTTGCACTAGTCCCTACTTTGAACGAGCATATATAAATATGTATAATGTTTTATGTGATGAATAACCTACCAAATGAAAGGTCTACGAGTCTAGTTTCCAACTCTTCAAACCGATCTTCATTTGGACATTCCTACGCAAAGTTATGATCAAATTACCAAAGGCTGGAAAAATGCGATCCTGTGTTAGATATGCGATCGCAAAAACCATTATGCGGTCCGCATACTTGATTTGCTATCGCAAATCTGGTCGCAAACTGGACCAGTGTAGCCCAGTTTTGGGCACCGAGTTTTGCAATGCGTTTGCGGCCAGCATACCCATTCTGCGGTCCATTATGCGACCGCAGACCCGTATTCGGAGGGTTAATCTTCCTATTTTTATAACCCGACCCCATTTTCATATATAGTCTTTGGGGCTTCATTTTGGGTCATTTTTCCACTGATTTTAGAGAGAGTTGAGAGCATTTTAGAGAGAGAAGGAGGAACGCAACATTCAATCATCCAGTCTTGCATCAATCTTCAAGAATCAAAGAACCCAATCACAAGTTTTTCATCTAAAGAGGTAAAATTCTATGCATTAGACTTTAATTTCGGGTTTGGGGTATAAGATGGGTTATTGAGGTATGATTCTTGGGTGTAATAGTATTATGTATACATGCATGTACAAATTAGGTTTGTAGAAAGATTGTTTAACATAAATAAGTAAACATTGGGTTGGGGAATGAAGGGAACCTTGCAAAAGAGATTTGAAATCAAGATGCACAACTAGTATTTGATAAAATGCTCAAATGAGCTGAAGCTATGAATACCTTCCTAAATTGTGTTCAATTTTGTTATGTCTCAAGTAGATTGGAATTGCTAGAATTTCCGGAACGTGGTAGTAACTTAAGGAAAGCTTAAACGAGGTATGTACGGCTAACTTTAACTCTTGTAGAATCCCCTTGTTGTGACGAGCATACGGTATGTGTACCTTGAAAATATGTGTATTGATTGTCTTAGTTGATTTCCACACCACCAAACTATATGTGATTGTAAGAAGTGATTTGATGTGCCTACCTTATTATGTGCAATGTTTGTAAATGCTTGAGGATGCCGACATGGAAGTATGTGTTAACGAATGAAAGAATGTTAATGTGTCCAAATGTGGGAATATGTATAATGGCTAAAAACCCTGCATTTGTGAAATGACGTAAATAAGTTGAACGATTACGACAACACCTTGTACTTGAATTACTGCTTGGTGACAGTTATGGTGCCTTGGGCCCAAATGTATGAATTGTTGATATGAACTTGTGTTTCCTTGAAATGATGGTTCTTGTGATGTATTGTTTGTTGTTGTTGTTGTGTGAAATGTGATTGTTCGGTGGGATCGGGTTGCGCGCCGCAACACGAAGTAATAAGGTGTGGGTTGTGGTGATAAGGGTGGCCGAGGTAATAAGGGTGGCCGAGGTAATAAGGGTGGAAAGTGACCATAGTCACTATTGAAATGAAAATATATGAAACTCTTGAATGTGGAAATGTTGGAAAGGGAAAAAGGAGAGATTGTAAAACTGTTGATTTTGGTTGTTTCTTCCTACGTGCAATGCTTGTTGGTTCTATTACTGTCTCTTAGCTGTGTATTGTTTGATATTCTGGATGGCCTGAAGCCATGTGATTGAACTGTGAACTATTGTTGTTGTGTGAAATGTGATTGTCCGGTGGGATCGGGTTGCGCGCCGCAACACGAAGTAATAAGGTGTGGGTTGTGGTGATAAGGGTGGCCGAGGTAATAAGGGTGGCCGAGGTAATAAGGATGGAATGTGATCATTATCACTATCGAAATAAAAAGTTTGTGAAATCATTGATATGATTAAATGATGTTGAAAGGGGAAAAGGAGAGATTGTGAAACTTGTTTGGCCTTGGTTGTTCCTTTCATGTGCATTGATTGTTGATTCTATTACTGTTCGTTATCTGTGTATTGATTGATTTTACTTGGGATAAAGTTTGTTCATACATACCAGTACAATTCAAATGTACTGACGTCCCTTTTGCCGGGGGCGCTACATTCTTGTTATGATTGTAGGTGGTTCTATAGCAGGTACTCCAGTCCACCGACAGTAGCACCTCCCCCACTTCCCGTCAGCTGCATTGGTGAGCCCCTTTCCTCTCGGGGCCCTGCGTGGCTCATGCCGCTTTTCTTCTCGGAGTCTTATTTTGGCATTTGTGTAAGGTATAGCCGGAGCCTTGTTGCCGGCATTTCCATATTATTCTTCAGTTGTATTTAGAGGCTCCGTAGACAGGTTGTGGGTAGTGTCGGGTATTGGGATTTAAAATAGAAATATTGATGATTGGCGATGATGTATAAAACTTGGAATTCCTTTAAAATGGTGAATGAAGTTGCTAATGAAAATGAAATGGAAATCGTTAATGATATGTTTATAGAATTTGATTAATGGAGTCCATATCCTATTTATTCATGAATTAGTTTGGGTAGAATGAGACCTAACAGGCTTGCTCGGTCGGGTTTACTCGGTTGAGCGCCGGTCGCGCTCCTCGGATTTTGGGGCGTGACAGTCAACTTCGTCAATGGTGCCGAAAGGGAAAAAAAACCCTCTACGAACCTCCGATAGTAGCCTACTAAGCCTAGAAAGCTACAAACCTCTGTCGGAGTGGTAGGTCTAGGCCCGGATTTCACGGTCTCAATCTTCTGAGTGTCTACCTTTATACCTTCATCGGATACAATATGTCCCACGAGTGCTATAGACTTCAACCAGAACTCAATTTAGAAAACATAGCAGACAACTTACGATCATGGAGGGTTTGGAGTACCACTCGCAGGTGGTCTGCATGATCCTCATCTGAACGTGAATAAACCAGAATATCATCAATAAATACTATCACGAGTAGATCTAAAAATGGCCGGAATACGCTGTTCCTCAAGTCCATAAATACAGAAGGTGCATCTGTCAACCCGAAGGACATGACAAGGAACTCGAGGTGGCCATATCGGGTCCTGAAGGTTGTCTTCAGAATATCTCTCTCCCGAACTCTTACCTAATGGTACCCCGACCTCAAATCTATCTTTGAAAAGCATCTAGCCCCCTGCAACTGATCAAACAAGTCATCGATCCTTGGAAGTGGATACTTATTCTTAATAGTAACCTTGTTAAGCTGCCTATAATTGATACACATCCTCAGCGAGCCATCTTTCTTTCGCACAAATAGTACAGGTACACCCTAAGGTGAGGTACTGGGCCTGATGAAACCTTTCTCTAGCGAATCTTTTAACTACTCTTCAACTCTTTCAATTTGGCAGGTGCTATTCTATACGGAGGGATGGATATTGGTTGAGTTCCCGGAAGCAAATCGATGCTAAACTCAATCTCTCGCTCTGGAGGAATACCTGGAAGATCATCTGGAAACACATTTGCGTACTCTCTAACTACTGGAATAGATTGAAGTGTAGGTATCTCAACATCTGCATCTCTAACTCGCACAATATGATAATGCACCCGTTTGCAATCATTTTCCTCGCCTTCAGATAGGAAATAAACCTACCTCTGGGTGTCGCTGTATTACCTACCCATACAAGAAGTGTCTTACCCGAAAAATGAAATCTAGATGCCTTTGCTCGACAATCAATTGTGGCACAGCAAGCTGATAACTAGTCCATGCCCATGATAACATGAAAATCCATCATCTCTAGCTCAACTAGATCGGCTGAGGTTTGACGACTACAAATCGTCATCGTACAACCTCGGTAAACCCGTCTATCAATAATCGATTCTCCGACCGGTGTAGATACCGTAAATGGATCACTTAGTATTTCAGGAACTATACCAAACTTCCCCGCGGCAAATGGGGTAATATACGATAAAGTAGATCCTGGATCTATCAAGGACTAAGCATCGTGAGAGCAAATGGTCAATATACCTGTCACAACATCTGGTGAAGACTCTTGGTCCTGTCGACCCGCTAAAGCATAGATACGATTCTGATTACCACTCGAACTAGAACCTCTACCTTTGCCTCGACCTCTACCAACTGAAGACTGAGACTCGCGCCTTGAAGGATGCACGGACATAAATGATTCTGTTGCTGAACTCGTTGGTTGTGCCATACCCCCAGAATCTCTATTTGGGCAATCTCGCATCATATGCCCTGGACGCCCACATGTATAACAAGCGTCAGAACCTGCTCGACATTAGCCCAAGTGTCCTCCACCACATATGTCACACCGCGGTGGAAATGACCATGTCTCCTCTGAACCTCGCTGTCACTGCAAACCCGATGCCTGTAAGCTCGCACCTGGTCCTAACTAAGTATATCGGTCATACCTACAATCCTGTAACTGAGGCGGTGGAGGCCTAGGTGGCCATCCGAAGTACTGGGGCCTATAACTACCCTGAGACTGCTTCTGAGACTTGGCAAATATCATCCTCCTACGCTGACCTTACTCACTCCTCTATGTACCTTATTGCCGATGCCTACCCCATTCTATATTCTGGGAGAATATTTGAATTCAGGATATATCCATACAATCCTGCATTGCAGCAGTGGCACATGCCTCGATCAACTCCGGGGCCAACCCTGCTAGAAACCTGTGGATCCTGTCCCACATAGTAGCAATTATGGATGGACCATATCTGGCCAGTGAGTCAAAAATAGAGACTATACTCTCGAATGCTCATATTGCCCTGCTTGAGGGCTAGAAACTGATCGACTCTAGGTTGTCGGATCTCCCGCAGTAAGTATTGGTCAAGGAAGGCATCTAAAAAATTCTCCCAAATAGCTGGAGGTGCATCACGTCCCCTGGATCTCTCCCACCCCTCATACCAAAGGACGGCTATATCTCAGAGTCAAAAAGCTGCCAGCTCAACTGTCTCTTTCTTTGTGCCATGCATAACCCGAAAGATCCTGTGAAGCTGATCTATGAAATCCTGCGGGTCCTCCCTCTGATCTGTCCCCGCGAACTCTGCGAGACTCAAAGCCATAAACTCTCGGACACTTGATCACTAGACCCCTCAAAAGACCCTATACTAGCTGATGCCCTAGCCTGTTGCTAGGTAGCTACCAACTGTGTTAACAAATGCACCGCACTCCTCAAGTCCTGATATGATGGAAGTGGAGGAGAACTAGATGTGCGGTATCCCTAGGAATCTCCTTTGGTGGTGGAGGAGCCGTTAATGGCTGAGTAGGGGTCTAGTCCTGGGCCTCAGACTTGGCCCCATCTACTAGGGGAACCCTGCTGGTCCCCTCATATGCTGTTGTATCTCTCCAATGACTAGCCGTAGTCTTCTTAGTCAGCGTCATCTCTGTATGCAAACACCAACACGTAAGTTTAACTCAAATTTCCTATAACACAAATCTACAACACGATATAGATTTGAAAGAAGGGTAACCAACTCCTAAATGCCCTGTAGTTCCCTGCTTATATAATGTGGTGCACAAGACATCTATAAACAAGACCCTACTAGACACGGCTTGTAGACTCCCTAGGATAGAACTACTTTGATACCAAGTTTGTCACGCCCCAAACATGGGGAGGCGAGACCGCCACCTGGTACCTAACTTATCCGAGCTTACCAACTTGAGAATGCGGCACTTTGGACGTAAAATGTCATACTTTGGCCAAAGGGCCACATTGCAAGACAATTTGTGAAATAAAATATAAAAATGAACAAAAAGTAGATCTGACTGAACATCAATACAAAGATAGGCCGAAAAGGCCGTAATAACTACTACAGCTAACAAACAAAAAAATATACATACAACGCGTAGTAGCCCAAAATACTGCATTGACTGACAGGATATGTCTACAAGCCTCTACTGATGGATGTACTATGGTCGGAACAGGGCCCCGACCTACCCATAATATATATACATATATAAACAATATGTTCTCAAAACCCTAGACTCGGCAACTCCGAAGGACGTGGAGCTTACCGATCAAGCTGATCACGGACATCACCTACAGATGAGGTCTACTAGGCTGTCCATCCGAACCTGCATGCATGAAATGCAACATCCCTAGGAATGGGATGTCAGTATTAAATAATGTACCGAGTATGTAAGGCAATAGAATAACTGAAAGCTGAAACTAAACTGATAATATAATAACTCAAAGTAACCAGGAGTCAAAGATGATTTGGAGATATACTTACCAGCTCATACTGACTGAACTCTCTCAATATAGTAAGTAAAATAGATGTCCAACCCTATACGGCTTGGAACGTGTAACGACTCTGCCGTAGTAGGCTCGCTCATAGGCGCTCGGCCATACTAGGCTCTGTATCTCAACCATTATGTGCTCGCTCATAGGCGCTCGGCCACAGTAGGCTCGGTATATAACTTACCGTATGATTAGAGGTTGCCCAATAGGGGCCTGCCTACCAATTATAGCTCGATGACGGTAAAAATACTGTACTACCGTGTGTGTATATATATATATATATATATATGTATTCTCTCTTGAATTGAAGAAGACAATACTTAACTGGATATAAAGTCCCGATAAGGGAGAATACTGTAACTTATAAGATTAGGACAATGTACATAAGTTCTAGAATATGTACTTCTCTTTATGTCTCCTTATTAACGCATGTAGTTACAAGATCATGCCAAACGAAGGAAGGTTTTACCTTTAACATACCTTATAATAATCTTTCCAATAACCAGTTGAACTCGTCTCTTCACACCTTAATCTACAAAAACAATAATAATACTATCATTAAGTTACTAAAGGTACAACTATCGCATAACGAACGATAGGCTTATTTTATATTAAAACGGGTTGCATCTCCCCTATACTCTTTACTTACTCCAAATTCAAGATAACACCAAAAACACAAGTACATAACAATACAAACATATATACATTATTTTTCAACCTTATATACACCACAAAATATTACAAAACAGCCCAACACACCCCAATCTCTACATGCACAAAACGACCACCGTAGTAATGTCAAACAACCCAAAAATGTTACGTTGAATGACCAACCCACCACCCTGCATTTATAAGGTGTTTAAACACACCCTTTCTCCTCCAAAACTCCCTAAAATAGTAGCAAAACACGCAATCAACTGCAACACAAAACAACCCACAAAATAGTCCACTACAAGTTGAATAACTCGAACACACGGCTTCCGATCACCGTCCCGTGAATTCTTACTGTTATAGAACGACTTCCCATACATTTCCAGCAGAAAATATGGATGAAAGAGAGAAGTAAACTTACCTTATTTGTGGAATAACTCTGCTCCTATCTTGGTTCTTCAAACTCTAGGTGTTTCCTCCAACTAGAACTTGAAAAGGGGAGAAAATCAATTAGGGTTTGTGTGCAATTTTTGGGAGGATTTTTGCAGGGGCTTATGTCTAGTTTTTATGCCTTTTATCAGTGTAATATATGAAGGAAATAGGCCTTTAAAAGGTCTATTTGGACGACCAGAACAGGCCCATTTAGGACATATGTAGGCCTCTCATTTAAGCAAGTAGGTGACACACTTACTTGTCAACTAGCAGTTTGCGTTGTCTCGCAAAAACGCATATATCTCTCTACTAGAATGTCGTATCGACAAAAAGTTTAATGCGTCACAAAATAGACTCACAGATCTTCAATTTGATGGTGGATCACCCTGTAACTCTAAGTATATTGGGATAAAATCTCAGTGACATTTGACCCAAAATTGAGCAAAACTCATGAACGTAACTTGTGATGGCTTTCATCGACTTTTGTTCCACAACTTGCTTGAGTTCAAAACTTAACACATGACTATCATAAGACTAAAATAAATCATAATATAACCCTCTTATCATATTAAGAATCCTAGTCTCACCCCAAAGGTACGGGTTATAATATTCCCAACTTGTCGACTTTCGACGAAACATTATTCTTTTCAATTCCTTTAGCTTCTGAACCTTCCAACCCTCTTTGTACTTTTTGTTGGTGATCTTCACTATTTGTAACCTCTGAGGTAACATGATAACTTACTTTATATACTTTGAAATATGATCTCATGTTTTGGTCTTACCTTAGTTTGCTTACGACACACTTTTACGTACGAATATATGGAGTGTAACAAATAATACGTTTTTGCATACAAAAATTATCATCTATGTAATGGAATGTTGCAGTGAAATAATCATTTCCATTACAACCCGACAAATATCATAAGTAAGAGAATCTCTACAAGAAAGACTAATGAACAAATAACAGATATATGTTTGATATTGTCCAAAACGCCTAAAGATATCAATTCTACAAGTACTTCTAGGAATGCCTTTAAACAAAAGGTTATAAATTCTTTGAATATAAGTAACAAGATATGGTGAAGCAGCAAAACTAAAAGGTAAACCACCTAAAACAATTATTTTAGCTAATTCTTCCGGATCTTTCACTATATCGTATTTATCCATTAAACCGCCAGTACCCGAGTTAAGTTTTTGTTGGCCAGATTCTTCATCAACACCCCATGTAATAGGGTGGTTATCTACCATGTGCCTATGAAGTTGACCCATTCCCCCTTGCTTACCTCCGGTCTCATATTTATAAAATTCCTTAGAAATAGTACATCTTACATAATTTTTATATTCTTCTAGTCTTTCAAAAAATTGTCAACACTTACTTCTTAATCTTCGATTCTTTTTAATAGGGAGGGGAGGCCTACCTATATTACCACGACCACCACCCCTAGTATTTGAGTAGCAGTTCCAGGTGTAGGTGGTGGTGTTTCAAGATTAACACGTGATTGAATATCATCTAAATTATCATCTATACCATAATATTCTTGAAGTTGCTCATAATCTACGTTTAAATTTTCAAGTGAACTTTCACAAATATGTGTAAAGATACTAGAAGAACCAGTAGCACCTAATGATCTTTTAGGATTTTTATTCTTACTAGTACAACCGTACAAGTACACACTTTTTTGGCTGCTCTAAATATATCCATTGTGTAAATTAAATTAAAAAACTAAATTAATAATTCTAAATAATAAAATAAACATAAACACCAAAGAAGAGAATGAGATGGAACGAGCGTACAGGGAGTCCGGATGCCGCACTAAATTTGATATCACACTTCAATTGATATTTGAGGATATTGATACCACATTTCACTTGATAATTAAAAATTTGTAGTGGCTAAAGTAAATATTTGATAAAACTTGAAATAAGAAGTAATGGAGAACTTGAGAGCAATAAGCAATATTATCAAGAGAGAATTAGAGTAGTAAGAGAGCAAATTGTGAGAAACAATAAAGAAGATGGGGGGCTATTTATAGATTTTAAAAGGTTAAAAATATAATTTACGAATTATTAGGGGTGTGGGGGCTATTTTCTTGAGGGGGTAGGCCAAAATGACCAAAAATGCAAAAAATGGTTATTGCCCATGGTCAATTTTGAATTTTACCGTAGGAAACGGTCAAAATCAA